AGCTGCTGTGCTGCAGTCTGAGGAGGAAAATGTCTATTTTGCTAGGGGAGAGATGCTGGATGGTAGCTCCAAAAGTTAAGATGGAAAATGGGGTCACATCTCCTAAAGCAACAAGGTTAGAGGTACAGGGGGGTTTATTCCTTGTCCAGGCTTCGGTGGCAACAGCCAGGAGGGAAATCCTCATCTGAGGAACTTCTGGGAGCTTGATCCTTCCAGGAGGGAGAGGTCTGGTGCCAGCAGCTGGGAGGGAAATAAAATCCATGGAGCCAGCTGAATTCCTGTTGTCCCTCCTGCTGCAGCCCCTGGTGAAGCAGGACAGCTTGGACATCTACAACGAGAGAGACCCCTTCAAGAACGATGACGGAGGAGTGGAGGACGAGGAGAGCGACGACGTGGACAGTGGAATGGAGGGGGAGCTGGACCTGGTGGAGAGGGATGCCATCCTCCCTGCCATGCCTGCCCAGCGCCCCCTCCTCGAGAGGGTGGCGTTCCCCAAAGGGCTCCCCTGGGCCCCCAAAGTCAGGTAAGACCACCCGTTGTCCTCCCCATCCTCCCCAGCCCCACCTGTCCTGGAGCTCCCTGCAGGCTGGGAGTCAGTTTGGGGGCTGCTGGCAAGTTAAGCTGCAGTGACACCACTTCTGGGTTTGTCTCAGCTGGGCCTTGCTGGGCTGGGCTTAGCTGGGCTCTTCCCCAGGCTTTGCAAACCAAGCGTGGCCAATGAGTGGCTGTCCCATTTTGGATGTCCCAGGTTGTGCTGGGGAGGAGGCTCGTGCTGGAATGCTGTGGGAGCAGGGTCTGCTGTCCCAGCCAGCACCAGGGGGTCCCAGCAGGGCAGGGTCCCAGGTTAAGCAGCTTGGGAACTGGTCAGTGACATCCCCTCTTCCTGGTCATGATGTCACCTCTTGCTTAGCGAGTGGGACTCTTGTGGCCAGATGAAGACTTCTTGAGTGGCCCTGCTCTAAGGTGAAAAACAGGAGGAAAAAGATCTGAGGATGAAGGATTTGGTGTTTTCCCTTCCTAGGACCAGTTCTGCTACATGTGATCTAGGGAAGGGCTGGGAGAAGAGGGTGAAATCCTCAGTCCCCTTCCCTCCAATCCATGCAAGGGTTTTTCCTCTCCATCTGGAGCCTGGATTGAACCCAGTATCTTCAATCACCACTAGATCTTCTCGGTGTGGGAGCAGTGAAGGGTTAAGTGTGGCTGTCCAGAGCCTCCTCAGAGGGACACAGCCCCAGCTGGGTCCCCACGTGGGTCTCTGGACATGCTGCTGTGGGCTCCAGGCAGCTTAAAGCTCCCAGCTTCCAAACCAAGTGCCAAACCTGGCTGGTGCCTGGAGCTCCAGCTGGGTTTCTCCCTGCCTGTGAGAACCTTGGCTCGTGGCTCATGTCCTGCTGGTAGTGCTGAGCCCCTGGCCAGTGCCCATGAGAGATGCCCAAGGTGGAGGAGCTGGGAGCAGCACGTGGGGGGGACATGGGGTCACTCCAAGCGAGCAGATGCTGCTTGAAGGTGCCTCTGCTAGGATGAAAAGGTGCTTGCTGCTCCCAGAGAGCTCCTCCTCTCCATCCCCACCCCTCACCGAGCCACACAGCAAATACAAATGATTTTAGTTCACGTTGCTCCAAACCAAGGAGAGCAACTGTGGCTCCAGCCTGCTGCTGTTAAGACCTCTAGAAACCCAGCCTAGAAACCTCCAAGGCTCCTGCTGCTCCCACGCCGCTGTCCCCTCTGGGCCAGGGAGGCTGTGAGCTGCTAGGTGGCTGTTTTCCAACCTCCTCCCCCCTCCCTGTGTCCCCGTGGCTCCCTCAGACAGAAGGACATCGAGCAGTTCCTGGAGGCCAGCAGGAACAAGTTCATCGGCTTCACGCTGGGACAGTGAGTGTTGCCTGTGTGGGTCCCACCCCCTCCCTCCCACAGCTCCCACCAGGGCCACCAGTGCTGCTGGGAGGGGTCCCCAGAGCTCAGGTTTTCCCAGGCAGCCCAAGGCAAGCTCAGGGTGGGGCAGGTTTGGCTGGGGCTGCAGCAGCATGCTTGGTGTTAGAAAACCATGTTCTTGGAGGTGCTGGTCCCCATGGACCTCTTTCTACTAAAACCCAGCCCTAGCTTGGAGTGGGTGAGCCCTGGCCCAAACCAGAGGCTGGTCTGATGTGGGAGGGGGTTGGGACAATCTGGTCCCCACAGCAAATCACCCAGATGGGGAATAAATCAATCTGTGGGTGCAGAGTCACCCTGGAGGAGCCCAACAAGGTACATTTGGGTTTAGGTGAGGGGCTGGGCTCAAGCTGGCTCCATGCGGAGACCTGACCCCAGCCCAATTCCTCACCCCAGTGCTGCCACTCGTGCAGGCTCTGCTGGGGAGGAGGGGGAGGGCAGGCAGCTCATGCCAACCCCTCTCCCAACTCCTCACCCATCTGGGATGGGT